CAGTAAACTTGACTAATATTCCTAGGTATTACACAGTCTGCCTCATATGAATCACTATAGAGAGGAATACAATAATTGTTCTCATTTATTTCTGGGTCTTATTTGCCCTCCTGAGATATTTCCATACCCTCTGAAGCTGCAAAAGCATTCATACAAAACATAACCCTGGGAGTGTATCTTGTAGCTCCTGAATAAAGTTTGTAGAGGATGGCATAATTTATTAAACTCCTTTTGGAGAGTGGTTAGTGATGATCAGCTAGAAACGTTCTATAACTTGGAATGACTCATAGAATCCAGAGTCAGAGAAATTGGTCTGGCACTCTCCTAGTAGCACATCTTTTTTGATTTTCGAAAAAGCTTGGATCCCTAGCAGTTCAATAAGTGATTTTAGACACTGTTCATATGAAGACATAAAGTGTAATGTATATAGTTTTGGCGGGAAGTTTGAATGGTTAATGCTAGTTGCTGATTGGTTGACTCCCTGGCCTGTTAAGTATATAAAGGGAGCTGTTCCACTGTAACAGTTGCTGGATTCACACTATGAAGTAAAGAGCTGTTGTTACTCCCGACCTGGCTTCTGTGTCCTCATTCACCCAACCTAACATTGGCAATGAAGGTGGGATTTTGAGGCAAACGAGAAGCTAGGGAAAAAGAGCTGACAACCACGAATCCAGCCAGGCGGACGAGCTCAGTGCCCAGAGAGACAACCACGATGTCTACTTTTGCACCGCTTAAGCCTTTTGACCCAGCCAGAGAGAAGTGGGGATCGTATATGGCTCGATTCGAATGCTTTCGTGAGGCTAGCGACCTACAAGCCTCTCCGACAACAGAAAAAGAGCTCTCTTCCTGAGCCACTGTAACCCAGAAGTCTTTGACATGGCTGAGTCACTATCTGAGCCAACCCCAGTTCAGTCGGTACCATGGCAGGTTTTACAAGCCTCGCTAAAGGCACACTACCCTCCAAATTCGTCCAGAGGTATGAATTTCGCCAGCGGCTGCAGCGAGAAGGAGAACCGATCAGTGCTTACATGGCTGCCCTGCGTAAGGCTGCAACGCACTATGAGTACCGAGATCTCGATGACACGCTCCTAGAGCAACTAATCTGCGGCATTAGAGATATTAGTCTAAAGAGAAGACTGCTAGCCCAGTCAAACCTGACCCTCCACATTGCTCTTGATGAAGCAAGAGCGCACAAATCCTCCACAAAGGCAGCGGAGACCCTGCAACGACCAGCACCATCGCAAGCGACGCCAAAGTCAGCCCCGGTGCACCGCGAGGCAACCCAGACCGACAGCGAGGAAGAGTCTGACAAAGACGTCTTCAAAACGGAAAAGTACAGATGTGATCAGAAGAATCACTGAGAGGACTGTGCAAGCTGCAGATGGTCACACCAACGACAGACCTGCAAATTCAGGGACGCCGTCTGCAGGTGCTGCAACAGAAAGGGACATTTGGCAAGGGTATGCAGAGCCAGCCAATCATCCAGCCACAAGTCAAAGTGTGGATCTAGCCAATACGAGCCGGCACAGCACAAAAAGGCCAACAAATATGGCGACTACAGGAAGGGTGCGAAATTCGAAAACCACAAGACCTGCAGCACCACAATAGGTCAAGCAAGTACAGCTCCTGAAAAGAAGCTACACACCGTGGTGGAGATAGAAGGAAGCCCATGCAAAATGGAGATAGAGACCAGATCATCTCTATCCATCATGTCCTGGGCCACCCTGAAAAAGGCAATACCCAGCTTAAAGAAATGCCAACTACAGCCCCAGCGACTATGGCTTCGCGACTACCAAAAGAACCACATTTCTGTAGAAGGAGTAGGTATGTTCCAGGTCGAGTAAGGAGAGCACCGGAAGAAGCTACCCCTCACTGTGGTCAGCGAACACCTCCCGAGCCTCCTGGGACTGGACTGGTTTAAGGACCTGGGAATGAGAGTCACCGGAGTCCACAGCGTGAGTGGCAGCCTGAGGGACGACCTGATGCAAGAATTCCAGGACGTTTTTGATGATCGCCTGGGCAAGTATGTGGGAACCCCTATCTCTTTTAACTTAGACCCCAATGTCGCCCCAATCCGGCTAAAAGCTAGGAGAGTGCCCTTCGCACTAAAACCAAAAATTGACATTGAACTGGATAAGCTTATTAAGCAGGGGGTGCTAGTTTCCGTCGACCATGCCAAATGGGAAACCCCAATAGTGACCCCCATTAAGCCAGATGGGTCTGTGCGCATCTGCGCTGATTACAAATGCACGATCAATAAGGCTCTTCAGCAGAGCGTTTATCCGGTCCGATTGTGCACCATTTGCTTCACTTCCTGGGCCCTGGCAAGATCTTCACAAACTTGATCTTGCGCAGAACTTCGAACTAGTCACAGACCATCAATCACTCTTGGGCCTCCTGGCAGGGGATCAGCCCACACCTACTGCTTTGTCTCCATGGATGACTCGTTGGGCAATCTTTCTAGCGGCATACTCCTATCACCTTGTCCACTGACCCGGACTGAGTTTGGGGCATGCAGATGCCCTCAGCAGATGCCCGCTACCAGACGTCCTAGATGACCCAACCCCTGGAGTACCAGTCTTACTAATTGACGCTTTGGACTCAGGACCTCTCACTTCTGCTGAAGTGGCGAGAGCCTTGGCTAAAGACCATGTCTTGAAAACAGTAATGAGCTGGGTCACGAGGGGTTGGCCGGGAAGGACTGAAGGCGGGGAATTTAAACCTTTTGTACCTAAACGGAATGAACTGTCAATGCAAGGGGGTTGCTTATTGTGGGGGGATCATGTCATTGTACCCTTATGCTTAAGGAAAAAGGTATTGCGTATGTTACATGATGGGCAACCCGGAATTGTAAGAATGAAAGGGCTAGCCAGGAGCTATGTTTGGTGGCCACAGATGGACAACGACATCACCAAGTGGGTGGGGAAGTGTCAACCCTGCCAAGAGTCCAGGCCAGATCCACCCACAGCACCAGTAAGGGAATGGGAACAACCCCAAGGTCCCTGGTCTAGAATCCACATAGACTTCGTTGGCCCCTTTCATGGCCAAACATTCCTGGAATTGTCGACGCCTATTCCAAATGGCTCGAAATCAAGTTAATGAAATCCACGACCACTGAAGCAATAATCAAAACACTGCAGAGACTTTTCGCCACCCATGGGTTACCTGACACGCTTGTGTCAGATAACGGGCCCCAGTTTACCACCACCCAATTTGAGGGGTACCTGGTAGAGTTAGGAATCAGGCACGCGCTCTCTGCGCCTTTTCATCCGGCCAGTAACAGACTGGCTGAAAGGTTTGTGAGAACGGCTAAGGAAGCACTCTCATGGTTAGGACCAGGAGACTGGCAAGCCAGGGTAGATAAGTTCCTGGCGGCCCAACATGCCACACCATGTACTGCCACCGGGCACAGCCTGGTCAAACTTCTAATGGGCAGAAAGCTTAGGTGCATCCTGGACCGACTAAACCCAAATTATTCCTCCGATGGGTTCAAGGGAGCCAATAGGAAGCTTAGGGAATTTCAGGTAGGGACGACAGTGTTTGCGAGGAATTATGCAAACGGGGCCCTACGGCTAGCCGGGACAATTTCTGAAATAACTGGTCCAAAGTCATACACAGTGACATGGAAGATGGGAAAATTTGGTGCAGGCACATAGATCAGCTATGGAAAAGATTAGCCACGGAACCAGAAAACCACTCAGAAATTCCAGTCGCTAACTACCAAAACCTTCCCACAACAGCTAGCTCAAGCCCGAGATGGTCGGAAGACTGATCTGAGAACTTCAGTGTCCAGCCCTCTCAAGGAACCGGACCCAGCCAAAGAAGTCAACGCCCCCAGCGAAATCCAGGAGGTTCCATTGGCAGAGCTGGGAGAGACAAAAGGTCCCTCCGACCAGCTCGACACCACGCCTCAGACTGAACTGCGCAGGTCAACCCGGGTATGGACACACCTTGGTCACCTGCATGATTTTTTATTTTATTTTATTTTTTATTTATTTATATGCCGCCCTTCTCCGGAGACTCGGGGCAGCTTACAAGGCGTTAAGCAATAGCCTTCATACTTTTGTATATTTTTTATACAAAGTCAGCTTATTGCCCCCACAAACCGGGTCCTCATTTTGTATGCAAATGTATAGCCTAAGTGCTTTCTGGGAAGGGACGGGTGTAATGTATATAGTTTTGGCAGGAAGTTTGAATGGTTAATGCTCGTTGCTGATTGGTTGACTCCCTGGCCTGTTAAGTATATAAAGGGAGCTGTTCCACTGTAACAGTTGCTGGATTCACACCATGAAGTAAAGAGCTGTTGTTACTCATGACCTGGCTTCTGTGTCCTCATTCACCCAACCTAACATAAAGAGTTATATGTACACAATCTGATTAACATCTGTGATTCTTCCCTGAGTACTTTCCTATAGAAATAATTCTAAGGGGACACCTTACGACTTACACTGTGTGCCAAACTATGTATAAAGATTGCAACTGTAGGTATCAGCAGAGGTTTTTGGTTTTCTTTACATGATTCTCCTCAAATGTGGGTTTACCTTTGTCCTCTATTGCAGCTAAATCAATAACTATGCAATTCCATCTGAGTGGGCATAAAGACCAAGAAAATGGCCTTGAGAAATGAAAGTTGTACCTGACCCTAGATTCCTCGTTTCTATCCCCAGTTTATTCCTTGCTGGGATCCTTCCTCATCTATATGGCTATGCTTAATGGTCCTTCCCTTTCACCCTGTGCCTGGTTTCAGCACCTATCATCTGCTAGGTCCCAGCATGCTTTCCCATTACAGGCAACCTGATAGCAGTAGCTTTTATTAGGCTGGCTTGATAATTCCTACTGAATTCCTGAATCTCAAGCAGAGAACATTGGCTAGATAATGAAATGGGTACCAATTTCATTGGGATATATGAAAGTAATCAAGACCCCAAACTGACATAACCGTAAAATTAACTTTAACAACAAAAATTGAATAACCGGCTAGCCTTTTACTGAATAATTACTATTTAAACCTTTTCGTTGTCTCCTTCACCCTTTAGAACTTCCTCAGATATTCCTCTGTAAAAAAGCAAGAAAAAAAGGTCAGTGTAATGCCAATTCAAAATGCAGTCAGGTATGTAGAAGTCAGGATTTCAATCCTTAACTATTTTCAGCATACCTCTTTAAAAAATTATGTTAGTCTCTATCTTGGTCTGCTTGTCAAGGATTTGTAACAGGTACAGCAGCTGTAAAACTTTCAGCTCTGCATTCCCAAACAGTTACAAGATTAGATAAGTACTTTTATTGCAGATAATTATGAAGCCTTGCATGCAGTGTTATGTCTCTAACAGCACACAAGAAACCTGAAATATATATGATTGGTATGGATGTCAGTCCCAAGACTTTCTTTGTGTTTTTACATAGTAAACTTCTAGAGTTTGGGGCCTTCTGAGTCTTTGCCATCTGTCTTTTGTTTACATAATGGTTTTTTCTACATGAAGGGGTTGCTACTTCTCCAACTTCAATTGTTACATTGCATTCTGTAATTAGTACTCTGATTACAGGAACCTGGTCCAGACAATCAGATTCTCTATTATGAGCTCTTTGCCCAGAAATGCTCTGTTGAAAATCTGAGAGATCTGAAATTTGCCCCCTTCATAACTGCTATTTATGGATCTTGCACTGATTCCTCCCCATGTATAGCATTTGCAATAATTAATACCACTCTATCTTTACTGACTTTCTTCAGTATCTATGGTATTCCTTTGTGATAGTTGTAAATTGCCATCCATCCTTCATAGCTGCTTTCTGTAACAACTTCATTAAGCCTAGCTAGAATTGACTGATTTCCCAATGTATCTATAGCTGAGAACTTTCTCCAGTCACCATCTTGTACTTGATGTGCTATTACAACCATTTTTAATTATGCAGAATTCTCCTTCTAAGTGTCATCATGTCAGCTTTGTCTGCTAATGAAAGGAAAAAGAAAAGGGAAGGAAGGGAAAGGGAAAGGAAAGATGCACTGTGCAAAATATGTATCCTACCTTTGAACGATATCCTTCATAGGTAGACATTCATTAAAGTGATGCCTTGCATTTGGCTGTTAACAAAGCAATTCTATCCTTTGGTAATGTTTTCAATTTATTGTAAGCTAATTGGGTCCTTTGTGGAAAGGGGCATTAAAGAGAAAATTGGGGAGCCAATTTTTCTCATGTTATTTATAGCTGAATACTTCTGTGAACTTGTCCTAATTATGAAAATTGCTGATCAAATCTGAGGAATTTTGCATGCCAAACTGATATTCTAGGGTGGTAGAATGGACATAGACTGTGAAACTGCATGCTGAGAGGTTGAGATAAAAGGAGGACCCCAGCCCTAGTGTGATGGCTTGATAACCAACTGTAAATTCAATATGGTCAAGGTAAAGTAGTAATAACGTCCAAGAAACAAATTCTGCACAACAGTCAGGATATCAAGACCCTTGAGCATCAGTTTGAATCACATGAAAATGGGCTGAAATGAGAACTTCTCCAAGAAGAAACCTTATATTTACATGAGTTCAGCTTCTACTCATCTTAAAGACCGATCTTAATGATTTAAGGCTAAATGCTACTTATAAGTCCCTCAAAAGTTTTGAGTTTACAAGCATGCATGCTGTTTATTTTCTGACAATGCTTCTGCAGCATTGGTATAAAATTCAAAATCAGAGTCTGTAGAAGTCTGCAGAACCATTTGAGTAATGCCATGAGCTTGAGCTTTCTGTTATAGGCTGCTAGAGAGATAAGGGATCATTGATTAGGGATGAATAAAAGCTCAGTCTTCATCCTTTTCTATACCCAAGGAAGAAATGTTTGGAGCATGAGATCTGATTGTAGCTAGCTCAGCATCCCATTCCTCTTTTGCCAAAGATGCTTATTGGCTATAGCTATTTCCATTTTTCCAGTGGAGGAAGAGATATGACTTTACTCTGTCATTTAACCATTATTATACCCCGTTTCTTTCATTGTGATTGATGGGAAGAAGCAGATGTATAGGCTTCAGGAGTAACTGATCAGCCAACTCTACATTTCTTACATGTGGCATGTAGTCTGCCTTTTTGTCTCCTCTAGTTTCCCAATAGGAAATTAAGATGGTGGGTTCAACCATCTGCTTCTTACAACAAATTGTCAGAAGTTGTTCTTGTATCCTCAGCGAATGGCTCTCATTGACAGTTATGTGGGTTGGTGACAGTCAGCTGCAGCCATCTCCTATGATCCCTTCTGGGAAGTCAAGAGTAGCACAGCTCAACAATGAATAATAGTATGTATCTATGTGCAACTATTGTCAACCCAGCATCAATAGACTATCGCAGTGTTGCAATACAAACTCTGCTCCTTTTATATTAAAATCATTATATTGCATGCTTGTATTAAAGGGACAGAGCTTGTAGCATGATGCCACAATACTGTTCCAGAAAATTCATGCTGATGTCCATGATAAGGCAGGCGTAGACAATAGGCTAAGTAGATTAGATTCACTGCCTGATCTTCCAGGGTACTTGCAGCAGTTATTCTCAACTAGAGATATTTGTAGACGTCCATTGAGAATTTTAGAAAATATTAATGTTGATAGATATATTAATAAAATTAAAATAGCTAACCAGCATCTTATCAAAGTGAAATCAAGATAGCAGTTAGAAGTGACATTTTTGATACTGATGGCAGCACTCTTCTTTATAAAAGGAATCTTTGCATAATAATAACTTTGGGACAAACTGAATCTGGGTTAGCTGCCCACATTTCAGGAACTAACATTTTGGAAGTCACAGAATTGGAAAAGACCTGGTAAAAGTTGCCAGCATTTGAGAACAATTCCAGCCTGAACAGAAAGCCACAATGGTCAGAAAGAGCCAATGACCAACCTGAACAAAAATAGTGCATCTTTCACTGACTAGAATGTGCTTATCATATATAATACAATGTGAAACATCTGGGTGGTTTTGTTCTAGCCTTAACAGCTAATGCTGTCATGAATATCTCAGGATGTGGAAAGAGGACCATGATGGAGATCATGGTCTAGTGATCTTCTGTAACAGATGTCTGTTCATGGATTGAAACTATAGTCTAAAACTCAAAGTTATACATAAGAACAATTTCAATTAAGCACTTAATAGCACCTCTGGAAACCTCTAGCAACTACATCATATGGATCTTAATTTAGGAGGAAGAGAACTTTCTTCAGAAGAAAATATCACAGGCCTTAGCATCAGTCATAATCCCAGATAAACACAGTACCATAATTTGTTTGAATAGAAACAGTATGAGTTATTTATGGCATGATCCAAATCTCTGCCAAGATTCTTAAACACAGAATCCTTCCCCTTGGCTTTACATATTTATTAAAGACTCTATATTGTTAATTTGTGTAGTACTGTAGTCTAAGGTGACCAGACGTCCCGCTTTTGGCGGGACAGTCCCGCTTTTGAGCAATTTGTCCCGCGTCCCGCGGCGTTTTTAAAAAAGTCCCGATTTTTCATTCTGCCTCCTGAGTCCCAGCTGCCTCCTGAGTCCCAGTTGATGGCTAGAGGGAAAAAACCTGTTTAAACAGTTGCCGCGGGGCTTCAAAGGGCCGCCCTACATTGATTAGCTCGGCTTCCCCCTCTCAGCTGATTTGCGCAGGGCTCTGCTCTTGCTAAATTGCTCAGCAGTTTTTTTTTTCTCTTTGTGCAAACCAAGCTCAAAACGAAACTGAAAGTAAAACAGGCTGTTGGCTTTGCTGTTTGCTTGCAACGTTGGAAAATTAGGCAGCAGATTTATTTTCCTTTTCCTCACCAAAAAAGGTAGGTGCAAACAATGGGAAATTATTTAGGGCAAAAGAGGAGAGTTCAAGATTTTAAAACACAAAAGAAAAAAAAGCTCTTTTTAACTAGGGAATTGTAATAATTGAGATACTATTAATTGTATACTGTGTTGAAAGCAGAAATGGTTAAGTTGTGGTTTGGAGGAATATATGGGGGAAATTATTTGGTTTATTATTATTGGTAAATGTAATTAATTGATTTGTAAGAAATTGGATTGCATGGAAATAATTGGAATATTCATGTTCATATTGATTAATATACAAAAAAGATAGTTATATAACTAATTGATTTATATTAAAATGTTGAATTTGTATTAAACAACTGTATTACATAATTACATAATTAACCAATGTGAGGATGGATATAAAAATAGATGACAATGGGAAGGGGTATAATATAGAATAGAAGGGAAAAATTGAATTTGATTAAGATTAGAGATGAGGATGAAGGGTAATATTGTTTTTTTAAAAAAATAGATGAGGAATAAATATGGCAAAAAGGAAATATAGAAATTGTAAATTTAATTGAAATGACTAAACACTGTTTAAATTTGTGAACCGGCCAAATATTCTGTTCAAAGAAAATACATTGTATGTTTGTATGTGTGTTTCTAATTATTGCTATTTATTCATATTTGTTCTCTTTTATTCTTTAAAGTTTAACAATTCATTCTTTATCTTAATATCTTTATATTTGTTTGGGGTTGGCTTTCTTCCCTTTCATCTTTTTTATTGTACAGCAATCTTTCTCCTCAAACCTACCACCTCTCTTTTCTTTCCTTCTTACTTTCTCTTCCCCCCACCCTCTTCTTCTCCTCCCTATTTCCTCTTCCTTTCTCCTTCTCCTCCTCTCTTCCTCCCTCTCTTACCGTCACTCCTACTCTAATTTCCCTTCCCTTCCTTCATCCCTCTCTATTACTGTATCCTTTTATGCATATGGACTACTCAGAGGGCTGAAAAAGTTATTTTTGACTGGTCCTCACACTTTTGACCAGTCCTCGAACTTACGACTGTCCTCACATTTTACGTTTTTGCCCTATCTTGTCATCATGGTGAAGAGAAGGAGTTGTGAAATGAGTGACATGGTTGTTAAGAATGCTGCACGGGCATAAATGTGAGGATGGTCATAAGTGTGAGGACCAGTCAAAAGTGCGAGGACCTGTCAGAAATGACTTTTTTCAGCCCTCCAGTTAGTCCTTTTGTGCATATGGACTACTCAGAGGGCTGAAAAAGTTATTTTT